TACATTTAAATGGGATGAGCCATGATTGAATACAGTGGTGTTTTCATTCTCCCACTCTGTCCATAGTGACTTTAAGAGAAATTTCTGGCACTAGACAGCACAGCAACCTTTCAAAGCTGTAAGCTGCTCTCTGTGTTCAGCTAGGCCTCTCATTGGTCTCAGTGACCTGAAGGCTTGACCGTATGACACAGTGGTCAGCCCAACAGCCATCTGCCACCGTGGTGCAAGGCTTGCCTAAGTTGTCATGCAACTTCAAACCAATGTGAATGAAGCCAAAAAATGTCCAAATTTACACTTAATTTTATTCATTTATGAGAAAGAAAGATGTTCTTGTGCTTTTGTTTCCCTCATTTACGTAAACTAAAAGATTCAGTGCAAGCCATGTGTTCTCCAGAAGGGGGCCTGCTGCAGACAGACGGACAGACAGACTTGTAAGCCAGGCCCGGGGCAGCTCCTTTTACCAAGACGGATTTGTTAACACTGTTTGGGTCGGTCAGGCCCTGGGTTGAAGTGACCTAATCTGTCATTAAACTCCTGTTACACTATGAGCGAGGCACAGCTCAGTGCCCCCTAAAGAGGAAAGACGAGACACAATCTTCTGATTCAGTGAAGTAGGCCATCATGAAAACAGCAGACACTAATAAATCCCAACATGGCACAGTTATATGCCTGCGCTGCAAAAACAAGTGCTTCATTTGTGATTCTTTTTGAGGAGGATTCACTTACAGCATGTTGGACAAAAGACTCATCACACTGAACAGTTTGATTACATTTTTCAGGTCTTTCTGCCTGTTATCATCAGTTTGGCAGCGAGTGTCCATCATACTTGCAGAATGCGAAACGATAGACATAGTTGCATCTGTTTGTTGTAGCAACATATCCTCTGGTCTGACATTATCTGCCCCATGAACTGTATTTCCTTGTACTTTAATCTACTAACACTTTGCAGGTTATCTCATTTGGTTAGGGACATCTGATGCTGCATCTCTTTTGTTTTGAGGAAGGTAAATGGTGGATAATAGATGACTATCTTACTGTATCTACAGTAAATGTTTATGGATATCATGGTTTCACCATGTCTCATATCTCATTATCTCATATCAGTTAGGCTCATTCAGAAAAAGAAGAAGAAGAAGAAGAAGAAAAAGAACACTGCTGTTCAGAAGTTTAGGGTCTGTAATATTTTTTCATGTCTTTTTGAAAGAAGTCTCTTATGCTCACCAAGGCTGTATTTATTTGAACAAAAATACAGGACAAACAGTAATATTATGAAATATTATTGCAATTTAAAGAACTGTTTTATATTTTATTATATTTATTTCTAAGTAATTTATTCCTGTCAGGGGCGGACTTAGTGAATTTGGGGCCCTAAGCAAATTTGTCAAAGCAAATTTCAGGTATGGGGCCCCAACACAATAACTATGTGCTCTTTTACGCATAACCCTTATTTTTGCTCGCTCTCTTTCTCATAGTTTATAGTTTATGTACCTCTTCACAACTTAAGTAAATAATTAGTCAACCTGATGCTGTTCTAAAGCCATTTTAGGCTTATTTTTTCAGATCACAAAAGAAGACTTTAAAAAAAAATGCTTGCACTTAATGAATTTAATGAATTGTAACCTTCTTCAATCTTTTTACAAAAACGATTCAAATGTCATAAAATTATCTTATCTATGAGCAACTCGTTCTGTATTCCAAGTGTTCTTAAGGCATACGGGTTTGCCAAGAAACAAATCGAAAATGTAATCTAATATTAAGCGAAAATCTCCAGTTATCGCATTCGTGCATTTGTATGAGTGCGCAGCAGTTTGCGCCGGTGCGCATAGGAAAAGCACAAAACAAGTCATTTTGAAACATCAAGACAAATAAAATCATGACACGAAACAATACTTTCTTCTCTGAGGTTAATATATCCATTCTGAGACAGTCAGACAGGATTATACAGCCTATGTGCAAAGAGCGCTCCCTCTACAATCACTAATAGCTGGCATTCACTTCAGTTCATCGCGATCTCACGATGTCCCATTAATTAATGAAGCTGTCTGCACTGCACAATGAATCTCTTATTTACATCGTATCTACACGTTGTTATAATGAGAGGATTCGCGAGCTTGCAGAGCTCAGCACTTGACAAAAACTGAGCGGTGAGTGAACATTTGATGCTCTCCAGAACACAAATACACACTGGAGCGTTTGCCAAATATGTTTAGCCAAAATCAGATGGGGCCCCCTGGGACCCTAAGCGGCCGCTTACCTCGCTTATTGGTTAAGTCCACCCCTGATTCCTGTGATGGCAAAGCTGAATTTTCAGCAGCAGTTACTTCAGTCTTCGGTGTTACATGATCCTTCAGAAATCATTCTAATATGCTGAATTGATGCTAATATATATATATATATATATATATATATATAATTTCATATATAATTGTAACCAAAGTTAAAATGCATTGTAATATTTGAAGGTTTGTTTTTCGTATGTTTTACTGCATTATACTTTCTAAAGGTGTAACAACGAATAGATACGTATTATAATGTATTAAAACTGTGGTTACAATTATTCACGAGATCATCCAATGCATTATAAGGTGCATTACAAGACATAATTAATGCATTAAAACTACTTTTATAATGCATTGTATGTAAAGTCCTTAAGTAAAGTGTTACCAAAACATTTATTATTTTCAATGTTGAAAACAGTTGTGCTACTTAATATTTTTGTGGAAGCTGTGATTATTTTTTTTCAGGATTCAGTGGTGAATATAAAAGAACGTCATTTGTTTGAAATAGAAATCCTTTGTAACACTATAAATGTCTTTACAGTCACTGTTGATCTTTGTATCCCTTTCTCCTCTGGCAATAAAATAATGCCATATAACAATATTATATACACATCTACAAATCTGTATGCATGTTGCAGAGCAGGCACACATTTTGACTTCAAAGTATGCTGGTACGATTTGTCACTCCAAACTAAACAAAAAGCTGGTGATGCCTTTCAATATGAATATATCATAGAATTTTTTTCTTCTTAGACTATTTAAATGCTGTATAGCTTGATGAAGTGGTGGTGAGTGTGGAAATGACTGTGTGCAATGTGAAGCATGTGAACTAAACGTTACATTGTTGTGGCACTCCTAATATTTTCCCAAGGTCTGGCAATAAATTATTAAGGCAGTAAATACAGCTTGTGATTTTAATGATTGTGAAATAAGGATCTTTCCATCCATGGTTGGAATCATCTGCAAACTGGAGCTTGTGAAGTCTCTTTGAAGTAACTTTGGGAGGGACATTCTGAGATATAAAGCTGCAGGCAGAGATGATCAACATGCATTTAGAGTTTCTCCAGACATAACTGAAATGCTAGGTAATGAGATGCAATATGTGACAGTTTGGCTAAAGAGATGTGTCTTTAATGTAGATTTAACCTGATAGAGTGTGTCTGAGCCCCGAGCATTATCAGGATAGCCATTCCAGAGTTTTGGAGCCAAATACAAAAAAAGCTGTATCTCCTTTTGTGGGCTTTGATATGTACTGTCAATAGTCCAAACTTTTGTGACCTTAAAGGATTGTAGTGTGATACAAGATCGGTTAGAAAGGACATCAAATGTTTTCCTTCTGTAAATGTTATTTTTTATTAACCCAAATGACTCCTGCAAAGCTGAAATGATCCTTGCTATGACTTAGAGTTAGTCATGCTGTGCCTTTTGAGCAGAAGCTGTATGATATAACTTGAATAGATCACATTTAACAGATGGTTCTGATCAGCTCGTGCTACATAAAAATATAATCAAGCTCAGAGCACATAGCTTTGACATATGATCCTCTTAATCAGTTGTTACTAACGATTTTGAGTACATCAAGTACTTATTAACTAAATCTAAATAGTTTCCCTGCTGCACATGAACCTCACGTTAGAGTGGACACTAATGTATCTCTGCAGTTCTGTGAGTAACGTTTTGACCTAATAAGCAGATACCAAGCTTTTTACATTTTGGAAATGTATAAAAACTGTTTATAGATTTTTTTAGAGGATTTGTGTAGAGAAAGGAAGTCTTATTGTTCTGTCAGGACCACTATCGTCAAAGATGATTGACAATTAGCATACAGTTTTGATTGGCGGTATGGTTCTGTTCTGGGCAAGAACTCCCTGCGCATCCATGCAGCCTAGTATGGATGAGAGCAGGGAGAGCAGCGATAACCCCCCAGGGTAAACAGAACAGAACCAACAAATGCATTGCAGATATCGTTAAAGTTCAATAATGTTATGTACACATTTTAGAATTAGTCTGATTCAAAGGAGAACCAGAAGGCTGAATCCCGACTGACAGAGGAGGAGAAGGGTAATTAGCTTTTGAGCAATGCGAAAACTGCTGATAATACTGAAGGACCTTATATATGAATGCTTAGATAGGTGTCGTATTCCCATAGGTTGATGGGGATCAGCTGAGAGTCAGCTGATGCGAGCTTGACTAACGTGACCTGCCAGAACTAACGCTACGCTAGATTTATGGTAAAATATCCTCTGGGATCTCAGAAACACTAATGCTATTTTAATAGCTTGAAAAACATACACAGGTAGACATTTCATGACTTTTCCTAATTTACGAAAAGTAATTCTAAATTGAAATTGAAATAATTAAATAAAAAATTTTAATTTGGCAACAAAATGTTTCCATTGCTTATGTTTGGTGTATCATAAAATATTATATTATAGGAACTATGAAGACAAAATAACAGATTAATTTGAATCCCAAACATAAAAACTGTCAAATAAATCTTTCAGTTTTCAGTTCTTTGTTTGAATAGGATTTAAATTTTAATTTCAGTTATTACCTTGTCTTTGTTTTGTTTTTTTACCGATAATTTTCCCTGTGGCCTCTTGTATTCTCACAAAAATTAAACCTGACATGCAAAATAATCAATAAAGGTCTTTTTTGAAAGACAAACCAAAAAAAAAAGCAGTCATAATGGAATAAACATTTCCTCTTTTTTTTTTCCAGATACAGAAGTACTTTGAATTGCAGCCACTGGCCCGAGGAAAGCGATGGATTCTTGCAGGCAGCACAACGAACAACATGGAGGCTGTGAAGGAGAGTTTTAGTCAACTCATCAGCCTTTTGGAAGAGAAGGAGGTGCTACCTAGCAGGATATGATTCAGTCAAACTTCAAAGTGAAGAGTGGGTTTGAAGTGTTGTTTGCTAAAAGGAATTTTTTGGACTTGTTCGTCATTGTTTTATAACCCACTGGAGACATAGATGCAAATAGCCACATGTTTTGACGAGCTGACCGACATAATCGTTACCCTCAGGGCCACACATATGCTGATTTAGTAGCAGGAGAGCCAAAGTCCTTTAAAGAGATCAGATTTTTCCCCCTTATTTGTAAGCGTAATAAGCTATTTGATTAGCTAGTGTCCATGGCACTCATCATTCCTTCTTCCATGTAGAGAATGTTAGAATGTTGTCCTAGACTAAATGTAGATGATGTTGTTAATTTTGTTGTTTGAAAAGATGACACACCCATTTACTTGGCACTGCTGGCCAAGCTTGTTTTCAGCTTTGAGCTGGAATACAAACTCTATCAATCAGTGTCTGCAACAGCTGCATTTGACAAGTCCCTGTCCGCCAGGCTTAAGCCCTCCAACTGTCTGCGGAGACTCCTCCCCGTCTGCCACCTCACTCCTCGCCCAGCCACGCTCTGCAGCCTAACCTGCTGCTTCCTGCTGGTGTTATCCAAATTCCTCTCCACAAATTTAGATTCCTGACTGCGCACCTCTCTGATGTGTTATTTTGTCTCACGGGAGTCTCCGAGTTGTTTAGGACTCACACATGCTGTGTTTCTATATATTTATTATGTTAAATAGGTTGCATTTGTTTGCCCGCATATTGCCACTTGATGTCTTATTTTTTGAAACAAAAAATAACATATTTGTACTGCCTTTAATTTAATGTGTGGCCATGTACCAGTTAGATGTGTCATGTGATCCTTTTTATACAGTACCCTCGTCCTACGATCCTCAGGGTAACAATTTACTGCAGTACATGTATGCATTTACTATAAGGTTTAATTCATTAACATTAGTTAATGCATTAGGTATCATGAACTGCATATTGGACTGTTTTTTTATAGCATTTAATAATTTAGGTGAATGTTAATTTATACAGATACTATTGTAAATGTATGTGTGCTTATAATACATTAATCTTATATGTGGTCTAATTTATACCACTTGAAATGTTACAAAATGTGTTGTGTTTGTATGTGGAAATTAATATTTTAAATATTAACATTCTTTGTATTATATCAAATTATCATAAACTAATATTATTTAAATAATACATAAATATTTATTAATAAATGCATTAAAAGTATTGTTCATAGCTATGACATTTATTTTAACCTTATTTTGAAGTACCACCACTTTACAATTCAATCTGAGTGTTGTCATTATTACTGTAAATATCATGATTTTAAGTGATTATTTTGAATTTCATACAAGGCCATGTAAGTGTAAAATCTGATATAGTGTAACATCTGATATGCTGCTTTAAACCAGTAGTTTTTCAATAGTTCCACTGTCACCCGGCAAAATCAAAGCAACCCAGAAAAATAATCAAAGAGTCCATCATATCATTGCTTCCCCATCTAATCTCTGTCTTGAACACAAATTTCATGCGCTCGCAGTCTGATGTAGATTAAAAAAAGGGAAGTTAACGTTTCCCAGACAGGGTTCCTGATCCAGCCAGGTTTATTTTTTTCTTCACCTCTTTTCAAACTACCCACGTTGCTTTAATACAATGTCTGTCACGCAGGTTGCCCCTGCGATTCTTTGATCTGCTCTTCCTCTGTCTACGGCTGACGCTCCTCTCTAGTCTGCTGCTCTTGTCTAGCCGCTCTCAGAGAAAGCCCTTTGCCCCTTCTTTCTCGGGCGCTCTGCTTCCCTTTGGTCAAGCTAATGGAGCCCACCCTCGAAGCAGAAACGCTGCAGAAAACCAGTTTGGCCTGTTAGAATTGGCCCGTCTCTCCTCCGAAGAGGCCCATTGACCGATTGCACTGGCCCTAAGGCCAGCAACTTATTGAATGCCCCATTCCTCCACTTCGTGCGACATTATCTGATTGTCAATAATGTAATTAGATACACAACGGGACACCTTGCAGGTACTGAGACAAACATATCACATACCAGCTTTTTTGTTTTGTTTTGTTTTTGGCTTCAGTCTTGCTTTTTATGCCACCAAGCGCTCTTAAAACCCTCCCACATGGGATGTCTTTTATAAAAACCAGTCTTAACTCCTTTTGCATATCATTTTTCTAGCTTGACTCAGTTTCACACTTGCTGTGTCTAGACAGAGATTATTTTTGGTTCCTTAGCAGGAATTCACCAGCAACTGACAAAGACTTGGAACAGAGCGTGGTGATCTTTGTTAGGATGACTTTTGAGAAGGAGGGGAAACGCTTTTGCTCAGTATCCCCTTAAAAGTCTTTTCCCAGTTGTGTTTGCTCAAAGGTGAGCTCGCCTCATCATTTAAGTCCTCTCAGTCCGAAATGGTAATGCATGACTCATTGGGGAACCTTTTTGTTTACAAGGATAACAAAGCACGTTCGTTGGTGTTTTCTCAAACGCCGAATGTTTTGCTCTCCCTCCGTCCAAACAGCCGAGTAATCTCAGGCTTTCACAACCTGTTGAAGAGGGTTTGCCCCTGTGGAAATGCAACAGATGTTCCCTTGACATCCATCTGGTCCTCGTGATCCAGTATCGTGCCACACTGTGAAGGGTTTTTCTTTTTTAACAGTTTCAGCTTGTCCCCGGTCAGGGGGGCTGATCTCCCATGTCTTATGCATGACTGGAATACTGTGCCACTGGTGACTTTATTAAGTCCCGGGATTAGAAATAAACACAGTAGTCTCTCCCATCCTGAGTCGGTCTTGACAACGGGACTTGGAACAAAAGCCAGTCAGTGAGACCTTGTTTGTGTTCCCGTATTTGTGGTTTGGAGAGAGAAGGAAATTGACATACGACCAGGGTTCATTTAAAGGTGTTTTCATGCATGTCAGGGTTCGCAGCATGGCACCACACACCTTCTCACTAAAGCAAACAACAAGTGTGAGCTATCAGTGATATCAGCTGCAGTGGGAAACTCAGATAAGAGCAAATATTAAAGGATTAGTTCACACGAAAATATAAATCCTATCACCCATCCTTCAGGCTGTTCGAAAACTAGGACTTTTTATTTTATTTTATTTTATTTTGTGAAACGCAAAGGGTGAACTTTTTTTAACTATTTAAATTGCTAATTTTTTAAAACTATTTAACTAATAAAAAAATGTTAAAATGCAATTCATACAGGGAATGACTTGAATACCTGCCTACCGTATTATGTAGTACAATTCCCCAAACCTAATATATGAATTAATAATTCATGATATTTGTTGAAATATGAATAATTTTAACCTTTATTTATTGGTTAAGATGTGTACATGCTGTTAAAATTGTAATAACAACAATAATAATAATTTTACAGTGAGTTTCTTTTTTAAGTTTAGAAAATAAAGATTTGTACACTGGAAAATGTTGTTACCTTACCTTACCTTACCTGACCTGACCTTAATGACATTTAAAATTCATTAAATTCAAACTTTTCATGAAGATGATTTAAAAGTTCTTTCGTAATCATATAAAACATGAATGCAAAGAGAAACATATGAGTTTGGCACATATGTAACATATGTTAGTTACACAAGCCGGTCTAATGACACAGACAAGGGATTTGGTCCCTTGGCTGAACAGTCTCCACTGAGCTTGTCATTCAAGCTTCTGGTTGAGCTACTTTGGAGGATTTCTTTCTCCTCCATCCTCCTCTCGTCTCCTCTCTTCCCGTCTTTTCTCTCTCTCATCTTTTGACGCGATGATGGAGATGTGTGTCCCAGGTGGCCCACTCATCAAAACACAAGGGATCTGGCTCCTTATTTCAGACAAAAACATCACACTCTTTGTTGTCCAAACGAAGAGATGTGGATGAGGATTTACCCAGGAGAATCTGCCCTCCCCATTGCCCACCAAAAGCCGTCTCCGCCCCCTGCCGTCAAAGAGAAATGTCAATCAAACGAGGGCATGAGGTCTGTTGAAAAGGTCATCCAGTGGTGGTCATTTCAGCCATTGTGTTCCTCTCATGAAAGGAAAAGGCAATCCAATGTGTCCAACTGACCTCACTTTGGACTAACTCCCCCTTCAGATATACTGAGAGGAAGATTTAGACATCTAGACGTAGCGTTGCAATTGTTCCTGGAGTCCTAGAGAAGATAATGAACATGTAGCCATACTTTTATAAAGATTTATGAGCAACTCTTGGAGGTTTTTAGATGTCTGGCATATTCATGAATACGCTTTAGTGTCCCCTTTTTTTTTTGGTGTGAGTCCTTTTAGATATTAGATATAAATTATATAACATGCCCCACTTCAGAGGTCTGAACCCTCTTGGCTGAATATAACAATTAAAATGATTCAGGAATAGCATAATTGTGATATTTAGCCATGCCACACATTTTGTGTACAATGATATTACCAGAAGTTCTGCTGTAAAAAAAAAAAAAAAAAGAAAGAAAAAAAAAAAAAAAATGTTATAACATTTCTTAATGTCTTACACAAAAAAAAGATTATTAGATTCTTTCTAAAGTGTGATGGTGAAGACAAGTGTAGTATTTTATATTTGTATATACAGTATATATATATATATAGAGAGAGAGAGAGAGAGATGGGGCTTGCCACTTTGTGCAAGCCTGTTACCAAAATGTCAAAATGTAAAAAGAAATGTGATTTAGAAAATTTTCTTTAATCGTCAAATCAATAAAGTCAACAAAATTTATACAATAATATATTTATTGATTTGACGTTGATTAAAGAAAATGTTCTAAATCACACTTTTTAAATTTTTTTTTTTACATTTAGACATTTTGGTAACAGGCTTGCACAAAGTGGCAAGCACCACTGAAATAAAAAAGAATATTAAAATGTAGTTTGACCTCCTGGAGTTGGCAGTCAAAAAAAGAAGAAATTAATTATTTTCAGCAAGGATTCATTATGATTCATTGTTCAAAAGTGAAAGTCAATACAATTATCATGTTATTTTCTTGAGCACCCAATCAGCATTTTAGAATAATTTCTGAAGAATAATGTGACAACTGAAGATTGGAGTAATGACTGCTGAAAATTCAGCTTTGCCATTACAGAAAAATGGAAAAGAATTATTTTAAATTGTAGTAATATTATTTCACAATATTAAAGTTTTTACTGTATATTTGAGCATAAAAGACTTTCAACGACATAAAAAAAAAAAATCTTACCAACCGCAAATTTTTGAACGATAGCATATTTTTTTCTAAGAAAATGTATCTTTTACAAAATTCAGTAAACGCTTTCCTCTGTTCACTCACTACAGACTACAGAAACACAGAGCAGTTTATTTAT